GATTGGGTCAACTAAATTAACAAAATCTGCCAAACCAACTAAATAATTAATCAATATGAGCTTTTTTTCGAGCAGGGTGTCAGCTGGTTCAATGTTTTCTGATTTGGGTCCTCGGTATTAAGTGTTAAGTATATTCTTGTGTGAATCCTCGGATCTTGGCTATAGCGTAGTCGTTAATTTATTCGATTGTATATGACTTAATCTAATAAGACACATGTAGCCCAAGTGAAACCTAATCACACGAGAATGCTGTTCATCGGACCAGCTTAATTGCAGCACGGCATACGGTCATAGTGACTTGCCCTGGATCTCCAGTCCAGAATCGTCTCAAGCCTCGATAAGCGATATACACGTGAGGAGTGTCATTGCGTTTCGATTAGGAGAAATCTAGAGAGAGAGAGAGAGAGAGAGAGAGAGAGAGACTGCAATTGTCGACGTCGTGGATAAATATACTTGAAAAATTCGTCAAATATAGGCCCAACTGGACTGTTTTCAAAACGGCGCTAGCGTCGTGCACTGACGACCTCATTGTAGTTCAAATAAACAAAGAGAGATAAATATCGGTTTATAATGGGCGAAGTAGAGAAACAGGCATATATGTAAGAAAATTTACACGCGAATGGAGGGAGCGAAAAAACGCTTGCTCTATTTGAAAAGCCCGCTCAAGTTACGATGAACCGTACTCTAACGCCACGCTAAATGTTACCGAACGTGACATGGGCCAGTGGCACAAATAGTAGAGCTTTCCTTACTCAGCCGGCTGGACACGTTTTTAAAGCTAAAGCCTTGCAGATTCGGAAATGAGGTATGACAAGTGTGACCAGGCCGGAAATGGCCATTATTTTCTTCCTAATATGCGTATTCCTGTTTCTTGTTGCAAATTACAGAAACATACAATCGCCAGGACGGTCACTGCATTCATCTGAACTTGCGCACCCGTACAGAAGCCCAGAATCACAGAACACGAAAGAACACTTGTTAATTAACCTCTATCGATCGCTCACGCAGCTCATTCGTCCCGCTCTGCCTTGGGGCTCTCCCTCGAGCCCGTGGCTCAATGGGTAGAGCGTTAGATTTACGATCAAAAGCTCGCGGGTTCGAGCCTCGATTGGTGCACAACTTGCGATTGGGTGTGACTGACTGCGGACGGCAAACACGCCGAAAATGACCATTGCAGTCCCTCTTATCTGTGCCAGCGGTGCTGTCAGCCTAAATTAAAGAACAATAAAACACGAGCGGTTTGGTAAGTTGACATCGCGGGGAGGAGCGAAAGGCGGGAGCTTGTTTGCCTTTTGGCTGGGACTGCAGTCATGCTGTCTGACCGGCCGTGCTCTCAGTGAACGTGCACTTCCCTGGCTGGAAATTGGATCGTGCCATCTGTCCACTTGAAGGAACGGCGGGGGGGAGCAGTATAGTAATGCCTGTTTATGAGGTTAGTGTCAGAGGCCCGGGCCTCCAGCAGTTCTTACTCTGCCTTGTTGCTGGCTCGCAGCATTCCCCATGTGTCCGCAAAGTCCAATTAGTGGTCGCCCCCTCCCCTCCCCTTCCCCCCGAGAGTGTGATTTGCAGTTCATGTCAGAGGGGGGTCACAACTCCGAGCGGCCCAGCTGCTCTCGCGCATTCGTGAGCCTTTGTAGTGGCCTCCTGGCGCTCAACCCAATAAACTCTACCAGATTGCTCACCTGTGTCAACTTGTTCCTTCAGTCGCACAACCCTGGTAGCTGTCAGACGATGGGCGAGACCCCTGCGTTTTGCCGCATCCTTGCATTTGGTAGTTTATGCCAAAGTGTTCGTAGCTCTGTCTTGTTTGTCGTTCGTGAGCAGGTTGTCTGAGGAGTTGTTCCTGGCTAATGGACAGCATCCGTTGCAGTTCAAATCGAAGGGAATGTTCT